AATTATGCAAATAGCAACTAAGCACAGTTACTGTTGGGTGGAGAATAGTATCAAGTGGGAAGAGGACAGGAAAATAAATTGTTGGGAAAAATATTGCTGTTGGTGATGGAACATGGGAGCAGAAGACAATACCCTGTATTTAAGACAATAACATAGCTTCTACAAAGGAAAGAGGCCTGGAGCTGCTGATTAAGCCAAGTCCTATGAACATCAAACCAACAGATGGAATGATTTCAGCCTTTGTTTGCTGTCATTCTTTTTTGTGACGACGCATACAAATCTGTCCACTTCTGTTCTCCGAAACTCAGAATGTGAACACAAATGGGTGGACAGATACAATACTGCTGTGTTGAAGCTGCACCACCTAAGCGAGCTGGCCTGAAAGGTGGCCTCTGTCCCATGAGCGCCTCATGTGGTAAAGAGCCAGAACGGTTTTCAGTAAAGTGCTTGTGGCTTCACCTGCCCCAGCCAAGCTAGCTGCACCTGCTAAGGAGTCGCACATTTCACCTGCTGCTTCATTTCCTCCTTGAAGGACTCCTTTACAGAAGACACCATGGTGGCCGTTTTATATTCCACAAAGGAGGCGTCTGAGGCAGGGGATAGATGAGAAACAGGCCCCAAGTCTCTCAAGAGGGCAGTATGTCAAAGCCTTGCCTGTCCCCCCAGCGTCTGTCCAGTCTGCTGCCTGCGTTTTTGTCCCTTCATCAGTCAGCCACCCTCCCGGTTTCCTGTTGGTAGCCTGCCCGCTCCTTCTGTTCTCTCAGACCTTGTAGACGAGTTCCTTGTGCTTAGCGACATTTCTTTGTCTTTCGTTGTATAGATTGTTGGTGTCTTTGGTGGTATGTGTTACATTTAGACATAATTGAATGTCAAGACAATCTCCAATTGGGAAATTTGGGGTCCTGACTCAGGTGGAGACCTTCTGTTGTGTGATTGCCTGTGTGCATGTACCCACACACAAATACCTACTGACTGGATTCCAGAGCAAACAGACTCTGATGTTTTTCTGTATCTTTTTGATATGTAAACATTAAAAATAAGTAGTTTAATCCATGCATTTTAAGTCTTTCCCATTTGGGTTAGATATTAATTACACTTTACTTTGAAATTCAAATGCCCATTAGTGTAAGACTTCGTAGTGCTATTTGTTCCCTTTAAAGCCTCCATTTTATGAACAAGGTTGAAGAGCTTCAAAATGGAGGGAGAGGAGGCAGAGTGAGTTCAGGCTAGCCACATCAGAGAAGTTAGGGCTTGATTGGAGTGTGCTCGTCAACACCTCCCCAGAGAGCATAAAGGCACCTAGTTTGTTTTCTTCTTCTTTTTAAAGATTATTTATGCATGCAGAACTGGGGTAAAGGCCAGAGGTATGGAGGGTGAGAGGATTCCCCAGAGACAGAGTGGGGAGCAGAACGGGCAGACCCACAGAAATACACTGCTGAGGGGAGCAGCAGGGAGACAGGAGAGGTCTGCTGCGCCATGTGGGTCAGCTCCCTGGCGGGGGATCAATCTTGTGTTGAAGCGGCTGTGGCTAGCTTTGTAGTGATGCGTTTTAACCCACTGCACCACTATTCAGGATCCTAGTTATTCTTAAGTAACATATTTTTGTGAGAACCTGTCATTGGTGAAGTGCTGTCTAGCTTCAGTTATTCAGGTAACCCAGTACTCAGTGGGTGTTTTCTTGGTGTTTGCTTTTTTTTTTTTTTTTAAGATAAACTTAAGTAGAAGAACTTCAGGCACTTTGATATTCAGAGACCTTGAGTAGAAATAAGCAAAAGGCTCTTTGAATTCTGTGTACAATTTCTGTTGTAGAAATTGGCCTAATTTTGGCCCATTAGCAGAAGAACAGCCACAAGCTCCCAGTTTCCCTTGTTTGGGACGTGGTCACCAGTGACTTTGAAGTGGTAATTTCTGTCCTTGTGATACTGGTTATTGTTACAGCATTTTATTGGTAGGATCTTCCTATTGTGTTGAAATCTCTCACACCTAAATGTTTCATTATCCACGTGACTTTTTACTCCATTTGGGGATCTCAGATCAATATACAGATGTCAAATTTGTTGAGATTTCAGGAGTTCAATGTCTGGGCCCACTTAAGCTGTTTCAAAGAGCTCAATGGCTTTCAATGTGTTTTCACAGAGCAAAATGACAACATTCTCTTTAAACAAAACCTGTGTCTTATAAACTTAAATGTGGTTGACGTAAGACATTGTTTCAGGCGGGTCTATTCTAATTTGATATTTGTATGTATTGAAATACCTGTGTATGTTAACATCCATGAGCGTGCTTGTTACAGAAGTGTTTGCCTTATGATGAGAATTTTCATAATCTCACTTAGCGACTTCTGAATAGGGCTTTTGTGATCTCTGTTTTGTCCCCATGACTTACTCAACTTGCAACTGAAAGTCTGTGCCTTACAAAACATATTTAAAAAGTTGAGTTATAGCAGATGCCCTGTGGATCAAGTTGTAGTGTAAATAAATGAACAGGACATCAGCAAAATAAATGAATAAAGCCTGAGAAATGAATAAAACCAGCCACACAGATAACTACACATAAAAAGGATTACAAATATATCAGTATTACTTTGCCCACCTACGCAAACTAATCTTGTGACTGGGGCCGTAAATTGTTAAACTAGACTAAATAATACCCATTCGTCTCTACTTTGAACATTCTAGAAATAGCCTATGAGTTTTTAAATGATAAACCAAGTATTTCTATGTTTTTTTCAGAGTCAGTTTTTGCCTGGGGGAACTAGGGTGATTTTTCATGGTGGTCCCAGTGTTAGTTAGCACATGACCGAGCCCCTCACTAGCATGCTCTCCTGGCAATCTGCCATTCCCTGCATAACGACAAAGCAGACTCTTAGTGTGAAGGAACTTTAATACAATTAGTGTGCATTTAGAGGAAAAGGGAAGAAAGACTAATAATTTCCTGATGAACAGTCTAAGTTACTTGTCCCCTCATGGGTAAATGTTCAGCCAAATAGGCCCAAAGTGAGGCCACCAAGACCCCAAAACCTTCTGCCTGTCTAAGGCATCTCTGGTGGGGGACTGTCGAAAGAGAAAAGGCCCAGGCGAGCCTGGGATGAAGGAGCAAAATCAAAGTGTGAAATCAGAGTAATCAGTGCCACTGTCAGCCTCTGCCTGCCCTGTCGGCCTCTCGCTCATGACTCTTCCCCTGTCAGCACGTGTCTCCTCCACATGCTGGCTGCCCTGTCCCCCACGGCACTGGTGTAAGTTCAAGGCCTAGGAGCAGGCACACCTGTGAGCACACCTGTGTAGCTTCTCTTGGCCGCTAGCTCCGCCCCTCATCATGTGGGGCAGAAAGGTGGAACTTCCCCATTTTTATGACGATGTTTCTCTTACCTAAATAGCACATTTAGTATCAGAAATGACCTTGGTGTGTAAGCCTCTTTATTCTTAGAGAAGGCAAACCTTTGTTTTTCATAACTTTCTTTATCGGTTTTTATAATTGCTACTAAGTATTCTCAATCTCGTTCAGATTTTTTGCTTTATAATTCCATTTCTCTGATTTACGGCTTAACTTCTTAGGAAACTCACACAAGTTGGTAGCTTTTCGTGTTTGTTTTTTTTTTTAAAGATTTATTTATTCATATAGAGCTGGGGTACATGCCAGAGATGCGGAGGGTGAGAGGACTCACCAGGGACAGAGCGGGGAGCAGAACAGGCAGATCGACGAAGTACACTGCTGAGGGGAGCAGCGGGCGGGTCAGGAGAGGTCTGCCACGCCACGTGGTCACCTCCAGGGCAGGTGGGGATCGAACTCATGCGGAAGTGACTTAAGCTCCTTAGTGCAATGCTTTAACCCTCTGCGCCACCAGGGAGGGCTTTTCATGTTTTATAAAAATACATTGAGAGCCATAAATTCCTTTCAAACAAGATATCACATGTGTCAAATTATAATTCTTAAAATGTTAAACATGATTCTCATATCAATAGTGAGTGAGCACATGTCAAGATTTCACTTAGCTCAACCAGCAAGATGACAAAATCAATTTAAAAAAGAATATACATCTCAGTATGCATCTCTCTATCTACTCCCTATAAATGTAAATTTTGGTATTAGCCTGACCAATTTTTCCTCTATCAATTATTTAATTTGAAGTATCCATTCATACTAAAATCTCCACGTAGCCGAGATTTCTAGTAGTAGTAATATGAATCTTACTTTGGGCTCACGGTTTAAACTCTGGTAAACATCACTGTCACCTGAAAGATGGGGCTCTGCCCTCCCCCACAGTGTTTCAGTTGCCCTTCAGGAAGTTTCCGGGGTGCTGCCTGGAAATCTGAGTTCGTCACAGGTTTCCAGGTGAAGCTGCCGTTCTGGGATTCATCCTTTGAGAACCACTGGTGTAGGCATAGACTGCCTGAGAACCAGTGGCCAGGGGGAGTGTTCGCTAACCCCAGGGACGTCCCTGCAACCTCTGGTTGGCTCTGTTGTTACTTTTCCTGTGCTTTTCCCATTTCCCTCTCCTGTCCGCCTCTGCATACCAGGTCATGCAAACCCAGCTGCATCCCGAGAGGATCCCTAAGTTTGAACACCTGCAACCCCTGAGAAGGGTCAACCCTCATTATCTCCCCCACAGAGACCTGACTTCCCTCCTCATCTGTTTCATTTCTCTCCGTGACTTCAGTTTCCCCATCAGTCAAGAGGGCTTCATAAATTGAAAAGAAAGGCCCAGAGGAAGAAATGCCCTACATTCCATAATTTATGAACGTTTAATGGAATAATTGCAAACTACCTGGGAATTGTCTATGGGTGTTGTTTTAAAGGCTTCTGTGTAAAATAACGTATTTCAAAACACGGCCCCTGTGTCTGTTTCTAGTAAAGTAGACACGATTTGACTTCTCACCAGTGTTTTGTTCAAGAGAGTTGTGCACTCTTAGAAACAGTGCAATGGAGGAAGGTCTGGGGGTGGGGTTGGGGTCCCCTGCTCATTCAGAGGGAGCCTCAAAGATGTGTGTGTCTCTTTCCAGGACCACGAAACCGCCTTTCCCAGGGCGCTGTCAGCTCAGAGGCTCTCCCCACGGTGGTGCTTTCTAGATGGTGAGTGTTTCTCTGTCTCTTGGAGGTCGTGGGGGCACAACTGAGCCAGGTGCTGGTGGATAAAATGGTCCCTCGGTTATGCAGAAAACCTTTCCTATGGCTCCCATAGAACTAGAATTTGCCAATGAAATGATGTGAGCTTGACGATGCCACGGAATTTCCTGAAATCATTTCCCTCCAAGCAAACTGGCCAATGAATGGACTGAACTTCTCAGCATCAAATCACCCGGGCTGACATGACCTTGTACTGCAGCCTTTTCCTGACAAATTCTGAGTGCCTGCCTTAAATTCAGGCCAGTAGATAGAATCAGTAATCTGGGGATAGGTAGTGATATGTACCTTGTTGGCTTATTCTAGAACTCTCATATTGCTTACTTTGAGCCATCCTCTCAGCATGAGATATACATTTTTGTGAGTGTGTGGAACATTTTAGTTGCATTCACATCTGCTCTGTTGAGCGTGACAGACAGAATGTGTAACAGTTCAGTCATTTTCCGATTGGCTAGTGAGCCCAAATTCCATCAGTCATCGCCCATTCCCTACATGCAGCGTCATCTTTCTTCTTATCCACCTGCCCATGTTGCAATACATGGCTGTTTGCATACTACCTAGGTAGCTACTACTCAGTGTAGCTACTACCTGGTGTAGCTGCTACCCAGTTCTCTCGTTGGTATGAACACAGGGCTTTCAGTGTACCCTTGGTTGTCTGTGTGTGGACCTGACGGGATGTACATGTGGGGAAAAGTCTGACCAGACCTGTAAACGTGGGGTCATATTGTGAAAGTGAGCAGTTGGCCCAGGGGAGATGGACCCACATAAATCATGATGTAGGTTTTCGTTAATGGCTTGTCAACCGCTGCCGAGGGTAATTTATGCTGTCTTTCCTCCTTTACTCCCAAGTGAGGAGAGACACAATCATTTATTATTTCATATCTAGAAGAACAACTTAGTTAAGAAAATTATAAAAATTGATACAAAGCATTTTATATTGTTTCTTCTGTATACAGCCTTAGAAAAATGACCAGTGTTGATAATGGTCTTAACCCGGATATTATATTGACTACAAACGGTTTTATTAAAAACCTTTAAAAGGTGATCCGAGTCATGATTAAAAAGTAACAGATTAGAGTTAAGTTCTTCTTAGGCAGATTTTATTCTCCTGTGGCCTTCAGAGCACAGGGACCATGAAAGCTTTATTTCTCTGCCCAGTTCCCTTTGAAAGGAAACTGCTCATTAAATATTGACGATTTTTGATTATGATTGATTCTTTGCATTTTAACTTTTTCTCACTAGTACTAAGTACTTTGTAGGAAATCTATTTTTAAAGGGAGGAGGAAGATAGGAATCTTTTGAATACTAAAGAAAAATCAGAGTAGTTTTTAGAAACCCCAAATTTGTACTTAAGAATTTTTTTCCTCAAATCACAGATGTAGTCAATCTCTTTTAGGAATGTTTAAATCGTTTTTGTTTGTTTTGCTATTTTGACTTACTTCAGGCATGGCTTAGAGACTCAATTTTAAAGTGAAATGATTCCTTTAAGACCAGATGTGGTTCCTGGCTCTGTATCTTCAAGTTCTTTTCCAAGATGAGAATTGCTGCCTTAGGAAGTCTGGCTAATAATAGTTTTTTTGTTGTTGTTGTTTGTTTTGTTTTTTGCTTTATTTACTTACCAAATACATATTGAGTTCAACTCTGTTTGAGGTCCTGTGCTCAGCATTGAGCAAGGAATTCTGTCTAGGGACAGGGGGTTAGGGCTGGGGCTGCGATATGAGCAGACTCAGTAAGCCGAGATGTGGGAGGGGCTTTCTGAGCGGGTGGGGTAGCTCTGGCAGGGGCAAGGAAGAGCTGAGGTTTCTGAGGAGATTCAGGGCCTGGCCGACAGTCCAGCATGCCTGCAATGCAAGGGCTTGGCCTGACGTAGGAGAAGTTGGTGACAGGCCGAGCCCACTCTGATAACATATGTATTTTTTATTTCCCAGCAACTTCTGCTGATCGCTTTTATCGAATAGACAGATCTCAGGTAAGTTTTCTTGAGTCTACTTACCAAAGTGACAATTTTTATTGGCCGCTGATCTTGTGAAGTTTACCAGCAGAATAACCAAAACATTTACCCATTTGGGAATGTGTTCATAGCCGCAACTGTGCGTTTTGACTTGTTTTCATGTGTTTTGTGACTTGTGGGCCCACGATGATATGGCTTGACCTTGCAAATGAGTACAGAAAATAACCAGACTTGTAAATATTATTGCAGCCTGTACTCCAAATTTTTTATTTATATTGCTACTTTTACTGCTTCCTAGGCAGTTCTTTATTATTATATATATATTTTGTAGTTGGGATAACACTGGTTTACGATACTGTCTATGATTTAGAAGTCCAAGATCACCCTCTTCTGGGGTGTAAACTCACACCACTAAGGTATCTATAACCTTCCACATTGTCAGATTTTATGCCTATGTGGGGACTCATTTTCTGAGAGTCTGAAGGAGAAAGAGAAATGCCAGATGTCTTCTCTTGTGTAAACTGTATAAAGAAACAAAACAAAGAAACAAATAAAACTAAGTCAAAACAAACCCTAAAGAATCTGACCTCAGACCTGAGGCTCCCCAAGGGGTGGGGAGCAAAAGCAGGAATGGGCGCATGGGCTGTGGTGGAGGACTGTGGGTGAACTGGTGGGGGGGTATGGTATGTGACATGCCTTTGAAGAGGGGTGAATCCATACCCCTAAATCACATGCAGTGCTGTAAACCAGTGTTACCTCCATGAAAAAATTATTAAAAAACCAGTTCATTTTTGGTTAGCAAGTGTCTAAGTTAGCAACTTAGAGAATATCTAAGTTACTGCGTTTGAAGTCATCAGTTCCCAGAGTTGAGTAATGAAATGGTTAAGCCCAGAGGTCCTGATTTTCCTGGCCAAGAAAGAGTATGGAATGGAGTCCAGGGATGAAAGCAGGTGTAACCACTCCATTAGGCCTTGACCAGACCCGGGGAGAAGCCAAGGCCAGCTGGACCCAGTTGCACGTGGGGGAGTCACATCTGATAGGCTTCGGGAAGAAGCAAAGGCAAGGCCACCTCCGGTTGTTCCTCATAAGACCCCTGCCCACTGGGAATCCCGATTCAAAAGGGATTCGGCTCTCCCCCGAGGAGGGATGTCCATTGCTCAGGCCTCTGACTGGGCCTTGTGGTCATCTAGTGCATCCCCGAATTTCACTGCCCCTTAAAGCCAAGAAGTCTTTGTCATCCGCCTTTCAGAGCGTGGATTTGCACTTGACCGGCTCATTTCTCCCTTAGGAACATTTGCATTTCGTGATGGAGATCTCCCACGACGAGATTTTTATTCTGGACCCGGACACGGCGCTGCCCCAGCAGGCGGGCACACCTCCAGGAATGCCTGACCTGGTGATAGAGCAAGCCTCGGGGTGAGTCGGCTTCTCCTCTGGGGAGTGATGTTGCGTCTGGCCGTGGGGTAACATGCAGAGCTGATATGATTTGGCCTTAACATTGTCATGGCACCAAACTTAAAATACAGATCCTGGCGGTGACTCTTGAGCGTGAGGTAGACCTGGTTCCACTATGAGTCTGCCTTTATGAGTGGCTGTGTAAAACCACTCTTTGCCACTCAGATTTGTATCATGCCTGAGCATCCCAAACCCAACACACCGACACTCCCCACCAGACAAGGAAGCTCTGGCGTTTGCTTGATTGTGTTATCCAAATTAACACCGACCACTGTTGCCCTCTTCCTTCCCCTCTTCCTCTCTCTTCTTTCTCCTCTTTTCCTTAAATCCAGGCAGCCTGAGACATGTAAATTATATAACAATATCTCCGACACACCAAACACTTACCAGGAGCCCCACGCTGCTAGACACATGTCTTATTCCCCATCTCCACTTCTTGACTTAATCATCTTGAATGACCTGTGCCTATTCCCCCATCTATAAGATGGAAATACTAGCAGTTTCTACCGACAGAATTGCTTGAGAAACAGATGAACCGCTACATGAAAAACAATTAGAGTAGGGCCTGGTTCCTGCTAGATTATCGTTAGGTATCATGTTGCTACCCTCTCAGGTCCCTGAGTTTGATGCTGGTGTTTAACTACCTTCATAGAACAGAGAATCGAGGCTCAGTGACCCCTGGAACTTTCCCAGGACTACTCAGAAGACCAAAGGGAAGACTGGGGTTTCGCCCCAGGTTTTCTGATTTCATGTATTTATTCACTACACCGAATCATCAAATAGTGTTAATATTTCTAGCTTATTTCAAGATTTAAAAGCGCTATGGGGAGGGCTCTTCATGAACAGTGACGATTCCAGCCAGGCAGTAGTCTCTGCTTCATGAAGTCGCCTGAACATCAGTGGCTGCTGCTGCACGAAGCTGGATCTTTCCGAGGCGGGTCCCGGGAACAGTACACTCAGGTGGCGCGCACTCGGGGGCACGTGTGCCCACACTGTCAGGGCACACGGTCACCGAGTAGCCCTGGCCCCTGCTCCCTCCCCTTCTTCACAGGTCTGTGCCACTGCTGCCCTTTGGGACTGCTTCTCCTCTGCCGGGGGCCAGCGGATGTCCATGTGTGTCGCATGTCTGTGGGGAGTCAGAAGGCAGAGGTGTCGGGACGGGAAACACACATACCTGCTTTTAGGGAGCCGGGGCTGGTGATTTCAGAGCATGAGGGGAAGCCCTGGCGCAAGGCTGGTAGAATGTAACCCCGGGAGGCCATGGGTGGTGGAGCGGGCTCCCTCGTTAGACATCAACTACACACCAGGCCTGTCTGTCGTGGGCTGAGCAAGTGACCCGCGGGGTCCTCTGCAGAATGGGTAGATACTAGAGTCTAGGGGGTCCCCTGACGCCCCCACAAAAGCGAGAAAAAAATCTGGGCAGGGGCAAGGAAGAGCTGAGGTTTCTGAAGAGATGCAGGGACCGATCAACAGTCCAGCATGCTGCAATGCAGGGGCTTGGCCTGATGTAGGAGAGAACAAGCTGGTGAAGGCCGTAGCCCACTCTGATGTCATCTCTGCACGGGCAGTGTGACCCCATTTCGCCCAGCTTGCCTGCCGCACCCCTCACGTCTTCCTGTGGATGAACAGTCAAAACAAACGACTTTGCCCCGGTTCAGATTTGTTAGCCTTAGCTCCTATCTAAGCAGCCTGAAGGTTCGCTAGCACTGCCGTCAGCCCCTTCTTATTGCTCATCAGTTGCCCCCTCTGGCAGTAATTCAGGAGCAGAGAAGCGGGAGGAGGGGGTGGGTTGTCAGCAAACCCAGGATGCATATTTGCTTGGAAAACAGAAAAAAGACGCCCTGACTTTTCCAACCACCCGGTATTTTCTACCGGCGTCCCCACAGCAGGTCCCCTTCCTTATCTGGGTCACAGTTAAACTTGCTCCACCTGGGGGTTCCGTTTTCTGCTCTGCAAAGAAGGCAGAATCTCAGGGAGCCCCTGGTGATGGTGGAGGGAGTGAAAGAAGAACCGCGCAGGACCGGTCAGCCCCAGCGGGCGGCGCCCCTTCTCCCGCCCGCCCGAGGGCCAGGATCGCCCTGAAGCTCGGACTGAGGCGGCCGCGGGCGGCTAACCCCCTTCTTTCCCCCAGGATGGCCGACTGGTGGAGCCCGGTGCTGCGGCAGCGCATGCTCGGCGACGGCGGGCTGGCCATGATAAGTCCGCACCTTGAGGACTCAGGCCTGAAAGATTACAGCCACTCGCGTGTGCTACAGTAAGAGCCCGGTGTGCTGCGGGGAGAGGGCTGCACGGGGTCCCCAGGGGCAGGGCCTCGCCTGTCAGCGCCTCGCTCGCTCTTCTGCGGGAGCTTTGCTTTGCGGTCCTCTTTGCGGTCCTCTTTGCAGTCCTCTTTGCAGTCCTCTTGCTCTTGCGCTGCACCGAGACCTTGCACGTGGATCTCTCACCACTCAGTGTTTGCTTGGCTGTTGCCCAGACATCGCGGTGTTTGCCCCCGGCGAAGACCTGCATGAGTGTGATGGCGAAGGGTCTGGAATGTCAGCTGTGTGCCAAGTGTCTGGTCCCGCTCTGCCGTCGCCGCGTGGGCTTGAGGGCTCTCCTGGGTGGCTTCTGGCTTCCGGCGTCATTTGTTCGGGGCGGCGTTTGTTCCTGGGTGAAAACAGGCTGGCTCTCTGGGGTCTGGACGTGGTCAGGGAGTAAGGTGGACTTGCTGACTGTGCTGTCCTGTTGTGTCCGGGGCTCCTCCTCCCCCTCCTCAGCCTTGCTTGCGGGGCAGGTGGGGTCCTGGACGCACGCGCTCACACACTCACACTCATGCTTGGGCTGCAGGACAGTCACCCCAGTTCCGAGGTCATCCGACTTCTTTACGATTCAGACATGAGGCTGTCTCAGCCTGTCCCAAGTGGGGATCAAAGAGGGACGGTGGTCTTGTACCCGTGGGTCTTGCTATTCTTCACAAAATAACAGTATTACCAAGGTCCTTAGAAATCCACGCTTTACTGGAGAAGCAAGGCAGTGCATTTTCCCCCAGATAGATGGGAAGCAATTCTGGTGTGGCACAGGGGAGAAAAAGAGAAATCTGAAACAAATTGTTTCATTGGTAAAGGTTCAATTGAGGCACCCTGAGGGCAAAGGGGGACTGTATTTTAATTGCCTCTCTGTACAAATTTTTATTTTGTTGTCTGGAGAGTGGAAAAGAGAGAGAAAAAAAAACTGAATTACCAAGGATTTTCCTTTTTAATTAAACCATGTTAGTTTCTGATGGCATGTGGATTGTTTACAATTCAGGGTATTTTTCCACTTTTTTCTTGTACAGAATTAAGACCTGTGAACTTGGATGAGTCAGCCACCCAGAGTAGCCTTCTACCTGTAGGCGGATCTCTTTGAAAATTAGGTTGTTAATTAGCCACAGAAGGAGAAATTCAGCCCCGAGAAAACAAAGTCTGTATTTTAGTTCTGCATGTAGATAGGCTGTGATTGCTTTCCAGAAAATTGAGCATGTTCACAGAGTTTCCCATGCCAGTTTTTCCTATATGTAGTATATTAAGGGATATTCCTGATTTACATGTGCAGGGATTGTTTCCAAAATGGGGAATATTCTTGTCAAGATTCAGGAGTGCATTCACCACTGTACATAACAGAAAATCAAGTCCTGTTTTATTTGGGGCATATGACCCTTTCAGAGCTGTCTCTCTCTCTTTTTTTTAATATTTATTTATTTATGCATACAGAACTGGGGTACAAGCCAGAAGTGCAGAGGCAGTGAGAGGATTCACTAGAGACAGAGTGGGGAGCAGAAAAAATTGTTTGATGAAGTACACTGCTGAGGGGGAGCAGTGGGAATGTCAGGAGAGGTCTGTGGCATCATGTGGGTCACCTCGGGGGCGGGGATTGAACTCATGCGGAAGTGACTTTAGCTTCTTCCTGCTGTGCTTTAACCTACTGTGCCACCAAGGAGGGCCTCTCTCTCTCTCTTTTAATAACTGTGTATAAAGTGTTACTTTATTTATTTATGCATTTATTTACTTATTATTAATTTTGAGAGCCCTCTCGATCCTTGCAAGCTAGGTCACCCCCAGGCAGCTCTTGGTTTTCTGGTCATCTCCACGACCATAATTCTTACACATAGCTGACTCTTCTGCGTTTTTCCCCAAGTCACTGGGAAAACAAAGCAGCCGCATTCCGTCACTCAAGCCTTGAGTGAAAGGCTGGTTTCAGATCACTAATAACATGTAAAATAGCTTATTTCATTTTCCAGTCATTATCTGATATTGCTCATTATTACTGTAATTCCTTACTTCCTTCCACTTCTTTATTTCCTTCAGAGACGGTCTCTGATATACGTAGGTGTCATTGCAGTTGTGAAATGAGGTAGTGATATTATTGTATTTATAGAATAGTTATTAACATATCTAACAGAGCTAGAACTGATAGAATCATGGTTCTGCTTTGCTTCATAAACTATCTTTAGTCTTTTCAACAACTTGTAAATTTCACCATTGTTTAACAGGCCAGTAATCACAGGCTTACAGAGTCGAAAATATTTTTCTATCATACTTTACTTTCGCAAAGGACCATTGCAAAGGCAGAATTCTGTACTTTTAATATTTGTGAAGTGAAAATATCTACAGTACCTGGAGATGATATATTCACATATGTAGAGGTAGGCATATAGTGTGTAAATATTTGCTACACTGACATAGACACACACACGTTTACAAAAAAAGTACAAGTATGGTTGAGAACTTGAAGAAATTTTAAAAAAGTTAAAAAGAGAAAGATAAATATAATGATGATATACTCATACTCATTTTTTAATTATAAATGTATATTAAGTATGCCTCAAGCTCATTAAGTACAATAATTATCTGAAAAAGATGCATGTGCCAGTCACCCTGATATATCACAGTATAGATTTTTTTTTTTAATTTGCACTAGGTCTTTTATTCATTTCATAATCTTAAGCAGCATTAGTACATAGAGCTTTAGGGTTTCGGGTTCATCTTGTTTTATCTTTTTACCTTTCGTCATCTACATCATGTAACACGTAATGCAACATGTAACCCTTTGGAACTTGCTCTTTTTATATCACATCATGTTTTTAAAATAGATTAAAATCAGTTGATTTGGCATAGAATATTGCAACACAGGTATGCCAAAACATATGTCAGAAACTTGGAATTGATTTCTAATATTTTCTTATTTGAAAAAGCACTGAACATCCCACCACATGTATCCTTATGTGTGCCAGTGTGGACATGCAGTGTAAACTTGAGTCAATATTGCAAAGTTTACCTGCCCGTTGGGAATATTAAGAACCAGTACATGACAGGGCCTGAAGGGTTGTTTTTATGTTCTAGTTGTCCTTGGCATCCGTTGCTTTCAGTTTTAAAGCCCTAACTGGAAGGTAGGAAAGTTCGATTTTAACAGCCTGTTTATCATGTTAAAAATCTCACTATATTAAAACAAAAAGGAAAATTTAAATTCCAAAAATAGGATGTATCAGAATTTGCAGGATACCACTGAAATGGTATTCACAGGATGATTTATGGCTCTAAATTCATCTGTGAAGGGAAAGTGATTGCATACAAACAATGCATGCAATTTGACGACTAGAAAAAGAATCCCAGAGTAGAGAGTAAAGAAACAAGAGAGAAGACAACAAAGAGAAATACAAGAATCAGTGATAAGGAGAATAAAAAATACATGATTAACCGAAAATATGTTTTTTAAATGTTTCCTGACAAAATTAACAATGGCATTCTCAGAAGTAGTTCTGAGAAGAGTAACTTTAAAAACCCAGAAAGACAGGAGACAGGATGTCATGGTCATGTGCCTCCTGCCCTGTCCTCCATGCATCCAGGGGACATCTGCTCTCAGTGACCCTTTCCCCTCTAGACTGAGACTGGCCAGTCACCGCAGCATCTCCTTAAGGTTTCTTCAGAGTTTTACACTTGAGTTTCTAAAAGCCAGCAGCCTCTTTCCTGCCTCAGGGAGAGTAAGACAGAGTGAACCAACAGAATGAATTTCATTCTTTCTCTCTCTGTCTCTCTGCCTCCCTCCCTCATCCCCCCACCATAAATAGAACACAACTATACACAGATCCCATAATTCCAAACAAGGGTGCACAGCAAACATATGGTCTTCAAAACTGATGAACATAGTAAATGTCAATTTTGGGATAAACTTATTCCAAAACTTATTCAGAGATGGTTGATTCATTATTACCTATATTGGATTTGGTTTTAAGTTCAAAACTACATCACCGCCTGAGAAAGTTCCGCTTAAAACACAACAGTTCTGGAAACACATTTGCTTTTATCTGCAGGTTCCTGTGAACTGGCTACCAGCTGGCCACTCATGGGCAGCTATTTGCTATCTGTAAATGACAGCAGAACATTTCTTGACCACCTACAGAGTACAGCCTAAATCCTGAGGCAGGCCGGGGTTCGCCCAGGCCGCCATTGACCCGATTAGTGACTACCTCCGTGGTGGTCTGGGATAGCTCTGCCTGTGATAACAGCAGACTGCTGACACATGTCTCTTGACATATGGGCACGATGCCCCATACGTCAAGAGACAGTATAAATACCCAGCCCCTGAAGATATAAAACTGAAGAGTAACTTGACCTTGAAGCATTCACATTCAAAGGGGAAAGGTTACATAACCAGCTCTGATGGTTTCTTCTATGTGCCGTGCCGGAGGGGATGTATACAGAGACTCTGGAAACAGGAGGGTGGAACTGGCTGCTTTTCTAAGCTTCACTTTGTTAGGAAAAGGACGAATCCTTAAAGAATGAACGAAGATGTTAATCTCAAAGAATAAAGCCGTTCTCAGGGTGATGCTTTTGCCTACTAACAAGCAGATAAGTATCTGCTTTTGGGCGTCTTCTAACCAGAATGCCCTCTCAAATAACTGAAGGTACTCAGTGATATTCAGCATCACGTACCCTATACGTGTGCAAGGAAGTTGGTAGAACTGACACGTTATTAAGGGGGATCCAAGTGCCTCATGAGAAAAGCTGAGAATTTAACCTGTTGAGGGGCGCCTACAATTCTGAACCTCCGATTAAAAAGACAACCCTGGAACTCCTGTGGATCACCTACCGATCTCCAGTCCTGGGGTGCCGAAAGCGTCCTCTTTTACATCCGGCACAGGGACCCAACCCTCATCCCCAGGTGTGGAACTCCTCAGGTAAAAGGATTCGGCACAGCTGGATCTGTGACTTCAATAAGACCTTCCTTCCCCCTTCCCCA